ATATTTTTCTAGTATCTATTGAAATGATCACATGGTTTTCATCCTTCCTTTTGTTACTCTGGTGCATAACACTGGTTTTTGGATACTGAAACAGCCTTGCATTCCTGGAATAAACTCCACCTGGTGGTGGTGAGTAATCCTTTTAATGTATTTTGAATTCAGTGTGCTAATATTTTGTTGAGAACTTTTGTCTCTAGGTTCATCAGGGGAGTTGGTCTGTAATTTTCTTCTTTTGTAGTCAGTTTGATTTTGGTATCAAAATGATGCTGGCCTCATACAGAATTAATATGGAAGCTTTCCTTCCTCTACAATTTTTTTTTGAACAGTTTAAGCAGGAGAGGTGTTAATTCTTTAAATGTTTTGTGGAATTCCTCTGTGAAGCCACCTGGTCCTGGCCTTTTATTTGTTGGGAGATTTTTGACTATCACTTCGGTTTTGTTACTAGTAATCAGTCTGTTTGGATTTTCCATTTCTTCCTGGTTTAGTCTTGGGAGACTGCATGTTTCTAGAACTTTATCCATTTCTTCTAGGTTGTCCAATTTGTTGGCATATAGTTTTTCATAGTAATCTCATATAATTGTATTTCTGTGGTATCAACTGTCATTTCTATTTTTATTTATTTGAATCCTTTCTCTTTATTAATCTAACTAAAGGTTTACCAATTTTATCTTTCCAAAGCAGCAGCTCTCTTTGATCCTGTGTATGTCTTTTAATCTCTATTTCATTTATTTCTGCTCTGATCTTTTTAATTTCCTTCCTACTATTAATATTGGCTTAGTTTGCTGTTCCTTTAGGTGTAGGGTTAGGTTATTAAGATATGTTTCTTGAGGTAGGCCTATCATGCTATAAACTTTCTTCTTAGAACTGCATTTGCTGCTTCCCAAAGATGTTGCATTGTTGTGTTTTTATTTTCAGTATTCTCCAAGAATTGTTTTATTTCCCCCATAAATTCTTTGCTGTCCCATTGGTTGTTTGGTAGCATGCTGTTTAGCCTCCATGTGCTTGTGTCTTTTCCAATTGCTTCCCTTAGATGATTTCTAGTTTTATGGTATCACAGTCAGGAAAGACACTTGGTATGATTTCAGTCTTAAGACTTTTCTTATGCCGTAACATCTGATCTCTTCTGGAGAATGTCCCGTGTGTGCTTGAACTGAATGAGTGTTCTACTGTCTGGGAATGTAATATTCTGCTTATATCTATTAGGTGCATTGAGGCTAATGTGTCTTTCAAAACCACCATTTCCTTACTGATGGGATGACCTATCACTGATGTAAATGGGGTGTTAAAGTCCTTTGATGGAAGTATCGATAGTCCAGGTTTTTTTTTTCATTCCTCTTTGCATGGAATACCTTTTCCATCCCTTTACTTTCAGTCTGTGTGTTTCTTCATATCTGAAGTGAATCTCTTCTAGGCAGCATATAGACAAGTTGTGTTTTTTATCCATTCAGTCACCCTCCGTCTTTTGACTGGAGCATTGAGTCCATTTACATTTAAAGTACTTATTGACAGGCATGTACTTCTTGCCATTTTGTTAAATGTTTTCTGGCTGTTTGCATTGTTCTCATCTGGTCCTTTTTCTCTTGCTCTCTTCTCTTGTGTGTGGTGACTTCCTTTTTTGTGTATCTACTGTAGGGTTTTGATTTGTGGTTATGCCATGTGGTTTATATATATCTTACACACATAGTAGTCTATGTTAAATTGATGGTCACTTAAGTTTGAATGCATGCTGACAGCATTACATTTATAACTCCCCCACCTCCATATTTGATGCATGTGGTGCCCTCTTTTATTCCTGTATTTAGTGATTCCCTCAACTAATTTTTACAACTAGCTAATTTAACTACTTTTGTCTTTTAACCTTTCTACTACCTTTGCTGTTTGCTTTTACCAGTGTTCTTTTCATAATTTTCTTGCTTCTAGTTATAGCCCTTCCTGTTCCTCTTAATTTACCATTTCTTGTAAGGTCTGTGACTTGTCTTTACCTGTGAAGCTCTCTCTCCCCCTCCGTTCTGAAGGATAACCTTGCTGGGTAGAGTAGCCTTGATTGGAGGTCTTTCTCTTTCAGCACTTTGAATAGATCATGCCACTTCCTTCCATAGAATTTCTGCAAAAAAAATCAACTGACTCCTTATGGGGCTCCCCTTATAGGTAACTCGTTGCTTTTCTCTCACTCTTCTTATGATTGTCTTTGACCTTTGACATTTTAATTATGATGTGTTTTGGTGTGGACCTCCTTGGCACTCTCTGCTTCCTGGACATGGGAATCTCTTTCTTTCCCTAGGTTAGAGAAGTTTTCAGCTATTATTTAAGTAAATGTCCACCCCTTTCTCTCTCCTCCTTCTGGACCTCCCATAATGAAAACATTAGCTTGCTGAATGTTACCCCAAAGCTCCCTTTACTTACCCTCATTTCTTTCTATTGTTTAGCCTGAATGCTCTGCCTTCTTCTGCATTCTATAATCTGCTGTGAATTCCAACTCATGTATTTTTCATTTATCACAGTCCTCCTCCCTGACAGGTTCTGTATTCTGTTTTCTAGCTCTGGAGAAGTCCTCCCTGAGCTCACCCACTCTTCTGTCAAGTCTGGTGAGCATCTTTATAGTCATTACTTTTAGCTCTTTGTCAGGTAGATTGCCCAACTCTTTCATTTATTTTTTTTCCCTGAGGTTTTGTCATGTCCTTTTCTTTCAAGCTTATTCCTGTGTCTCCTCATGTTGCTTTACTTTCTGTGTTTGTTTCTGTAGGTTAGGTGAAAAGGGCTACCTACCTCTCCCAGTCTTGGAGGCACGGCCTTGTATAGGAACGTCTTCTGGGAGACAGTGTATACCTGGTGGTTGGGCTGAAGGCTTGGTGGGAATGGGCAGGGGAGGGGCTGGTGTCAAAGGAGTACAGTCGTGGAGCTTCCAGGTGAGCCCCAGCCCAGGTCACACTAATGGGGTGACTGGGGGTGTATGGGTGCAGACAAGAGATCTCATGGGTTGGCACCAGGCTGGGGTTGTGTAAGCAGGGTGTCTGAGGAAGGGGTGCACATAGAGCTAGGCAGCCAGCTCTGTCACAGCTGGAGCTGACGCATTCACCCAGCCCCTGCTCCTGTCTGCACCAGCAGTGTTTAAATCATGGCACTTACCAGCAGCTCCAGTCCTGGACAAAGTTCCCACATTTCCCCTACTGGTTGGTGGGTGCTTGAGGTTTGAAAATCAGCTTCCTTCTATTCCAGCTGCAGTGGGGTTTAAACCCTCCCCCTCGGTGGCTCTTTTCCTGTGCCCCAGGGCAGGTGACCCTCCCCACCTCCCCACTGCAGGCTGCACTCGGGGGTGGTGTGCCCTCGTCACTGGGTCTCCATCTCTCTGGCCTTCCTCTATGTGTCTTTTCTTCCCCTGTGTGCAGGCGCACACGCAGGCCTCTGTCCTTCCTAGGCATGACCTGCTCTGTGCACCGCTGAAGACTCGTTGTGTCTGGGACGAGGCTCCAGCTCTGCCTGCTGCTGTCCGGGTCCCGCCTCTCAGGGGTGCCCTGGCACAGAGGCAGAGTCCTTGCCGGGGCCCCAGTTTCCACCCAGAGGCAGAGGTGCTGACTTCCTGTAATTGACTTAGAATCTATTATCCTCTGGACTCTGACATAACCTTTTATCTCCTTTTTCCATTCCCTCAAAACTTCAAGCATATTGCTGCTTTCCTCATCTTAAGTTCTCCCATTGACAAGTTGGTGTCCTTCTCATTCCCTTTAATTTGTTTCCAGAGATGCTTTGAGAGTATCTTTGAGGATCTCAAGTTTCACTCATAGTGGGCCTTTTTTGTGAGAAAAAAAAGATGTCTTCAGTTGTAAAATATCCTCTACCCTTGGAACGTCTATTTCATATTTTAATCTCTCCTTTACGGTTCATCGGACAGATTCATTTGACTGATGACCCAGCCAAACTTGTTTCCAAAGGGCTGTGTGATCGTGGTTTTTACGTGGATACTGGTGGGCGGCGTCTCCAGCAGACGGCTGTGGTCTCTGGGGGAGCAGAAGCAGAGACTACAAAGCTCTAGAGAGACAGCAAGGCTGAATCTTCTCGAGCCCTGTGTGCCTGTGGAGGAAGGTGGGAAGAGCCCCAGGGTGTGATAGTGGCTTAGGCACCGAGGCCCCCTGGAGAAGCACCCTGCCCTGTCTGTGCCTGCCGTGGAAAACACACTGAACCTGCTGAAAGGGGAGGAGATGCATGGGCCTCAGGCATCTGTAGACAGGAAGCCAGAGGTGTTCCTGGGTGGCGCAGCATAAGGCGGAAAACAGGTGAAAGCCAAAAGGGCCGGTTTCCCCCTCTGTAACTTCTTGGAGTCTGTTTCACCCAGCTAGGCTGAATTTAGTGAAACAGCACCAAAAAACAGTGTGATGTGTTTAGGCCTGGGGCTCACTATTTAGGAAATCTGTTGACACTGGAAGAATAGGCTTTGTTCTTTAACTTGCTCCCCCAGGGGGTGAGTTTTACGGCATCACTTTGTCATCTCGCAGTGCTGGGCGATGTGAGACGGCCGTGTCCTCGCGCTTCCTTCATTGGGGCGGGCTGTCCTGACAGACCCTGCCTGGCACTGTGCCTCCATTATGGGCGGCCCTCGTGCTGAGGGCATGGCCTGGGGTGTCCATGCCATCTTGTGTCATCACTATCACTGTGACATAGCTCGAGTCTAATCAGCCGATATCACATGCACCCTGGGACAATGTTTAGGCCCCGGGAGAAGGCAAGGGGGCTTGGAAAAGCCTGACCTCCCGGCCCGGGGAAAGTGAGGTGGTTTCCCGGAGTCTGACGTTCCTGTTTTGTACATATGAAAATCCCAGTCTTTCCAAGGTGAATTTTGTGGACCGTGTATGGCCCGAGGTGGCCAAGCTATTGTCTTCCGTCTCAGTGCAGAGCCTCAGGGAAGCAGGCCCCCTTAGCGGTGCCGCAGTCCCCCCTGGGGCAGAGTTTTCCTGTGCTGCTCCGCTCGAGTGGCTGACCGTCTCTGTGCCCCTGTGTCCCCGCAGGTCCTTTGTCATCCAGCAGATCCCGAGCAGCAATCTGTTCATGGTGGTGGTGGACAGCGGCTGCCTCTGTGAGGCCGTGGCGCCCATCACCATGGCACCCATTGAAATCAGGTATATCCTTTGGTGTGGCGGCCCAGCCACCACCGCCCATGCCGGTAAGGGGGTCAGCAGGCGGGAAACCTGGGGGCAGGGGTATGTGAGGGGAGAGAGAAGGTGAGTAAGGGATGGAGTGTCCATAGCACTGTGGAAGTATGCCTTAACTACGGTCAACATAATGAATCCCTCAAGTGTGAACGTCTAAAAGCCCAGAAGATCAGGCGACGTCCGGAATCCTGTCACGGCTTCCACCCCGAGGTAAGTCCGAGAACCGCTCATGTTCTTTTTACCCCGGTGCTTCGCCCCAAGAATCTCGTACTGGTCAAGGAACTAGAACTAAAAAGTTTACTTGTGAGAAAACAGTCCCTTTCTGGAAAATCGAAGAAGAATATACAGGGAGGCTCATGATCCTGCCCCTTGAGCCCCTCCATGCCCTCCTGTTTTGTCTGTGCACAACGTAGACTACATACTGTATGCATATATATAACAGAGAGAGAAAGCTTCTTTATTAGTTTTATCACTTTCCATCATTACACACAACGTGGCTCTGACCACGTTGGTTTACTCGTTTCAAAGTGTTGTCCAAATCATTCTCCCCTGCTTACCTTTAACAGCCTTGTATTTATTAGGAATTCATGTAAAGCAAAATCAGCCATCTTAAAAGTCACGATTATAAAAGTTTGGAAGTTCCCTCCTCAAGGCGCTCCGTTTATGCCCAAGGTTTAGTACTGGGAACGGTGAACTTACACAGAAGTAGGGGAATTAGAACTGCATATACCCCAAATGCTGCAGGCAAAACATTTACTTTAGCAAAATTACCTTCCCCTCCCTGAAAAAATGGAAAGCTTGCACTGGCAAGATACCAATTTTTTTTAATGCCACCAGACTATTAATCTCATCTCCAAACAGCAAATACTTTTTAAAATACTTTTTAATGTTCCTTAAACTATTCAAGTCCTATAGAAAATGCACCAATAAGAACTTGTAATTTATTGGGAATGTTTGCTTCTCTGTACAAAGGAGAGTTCTACAAGAGCAGCATCTTATACAACTATCTGCTGAAAGGCCTTTGATAAAATGCAAAAAACTAAAATCATTTCAGTTAAAACCAGAACTGCCTACCTACCTAACTGAAGTCACTAATAATTTGCTTTGATAACTAGAAACGATAACCATTTCAAAAACTATTTTTTTCTGCAAGTTCTTGACCTAGTATGACGAGGTCAGTGGAACAGAATAGAAATTGTTCTATGTCTCACAAGAAACTTTAGGGATTGGAGAGAGCTTCCTATTCAAGACCAGAAAGCCATGGGAGAAAAACAGAGTGACTTTTCTATGGAAAAAGATATAAAGTCAGTAGCCAGTTTCTAGGACTCTAAACCAACCAACCACATACTAAAATAAACAAAGGACATCAAAGATACAAGTTTCTGGGTGACCAGGATCCACAGGTGAGGATGAAATCTCTACCTACAGCTACCAAAGGCAAAATCTGTGCTTCCAGTTCGGGGCGTCCGCACCCTAAGCAGGGGCATATCGCACCGACTGGCGATCACATTCCGCACTCACCATTCACGACTGCCGCAGTAAGCAAAGAGCTGACTCACGGAGAGCTACATAGAGGAAGTTCCATCAGCCAGGGGATAAAAAGCACATTGCAGAAAGGAATACATAATATTTCATTTTTGTAAAACAGAGCCCCCTCTGGCCTCCAGATGAAGAGGGCACCTCCTATCCTCCCACAGGCTCTGGTGTAGATCCGTGCGAGCGTCTCTTACTTGCATGCTGCAGACACAGAGTAGGCGGCCGAACTTTTGCTTTGATCGTTTGGTCACCATAGGGCATCGGTGCCAAGAACCCTTTTCCCTTCCTGCTCTGTGTGATGTTATGTGCAGTAACCGTGACTGCCTTATGGGCGAGTGAAATCAGAGAGTCTTACCACTAACTTGATGAAGTTGTCCCTACCGTGGCGAGGGGAGAGGGCCTCACCGTCTCTTGGGAGGGTGGGCGCCCTGGCATGGCACTGCTCTGACCGGCCCGCCTTGCCCCGCAGGAGAATGCACGGGAGTGCGGCGGTGCCCGCGGCCTGCAGGCCGGGATGGCCCTCGCCATGCTGCCTCTGCTGCTGCTGCTGGTCTTCTCAAGGTGACACCGACCGAGATGTCTTCCTGGCATGCTGAATTATGGGGAAACTGTGAACCACACTATGGTGCGACGCAGGAGACAGATATAGTCCGACCATCAGCATCTCATGATTTTAAACTGTGCGTGATATAAACTCAAAGATATGTTCACAAAAAAAAAGTTATCTTTTTACTTTTTGCCAGTCATGCAAATGTGAGTCTGCTACATGACCACCATCACCATCCGAGTCGGGGCGGCCCGCGGGCACTGTCCCTTCTGCTTGAAACCCATTGAAACCACTTTAAAACTGCATACTTTTTAAATAAAGTATATTAAAATCATAATCTCCTTGTTTGGGTTTTATCCTCACATTGTGACTAACTACAGACTGCACAGGGCATGAAAAAGTCACCCGTGCCAGACTCCAGGGAAGGAAGGTTGGCACAGACTTGGCTCTAAAGGAGATTCTAGACAAATATTTAACAATTGTTTAGGTGTTCCACTCTCTGTTATAGAAATATTTACAGAAGTAAATCATAGTATTGTCTGCAGGGGAAGAGTTTATGACATAGAACCCTGAATGCTGTTGAATTCAACTTCCACAGAAATGATAAGTTGGCTGAAGCATGAGGTCCCATAATACGCAAGTGTTTTGAACTATTTTGAACTATTGGGATTAGGAGTCACAAATCCTAGGGGCTCCTTCTAAGACCGAAAGGAGGAAAACAGTGACTCCCAGGGACTCGGGCTTCCCCATAAATGAGATGAAATTAGATCTCAGCTATTACAAAAAGCAAAGCTTCCCAGAACCCTGAGCATTCCTGACACCACTAGCTCCTGAACCAAAGAAAACAGATGATTCCATCGGATCACTGTTACCAAATAAAGTGGAATCATTTCCGTGCCCGGGCAGAATCAAGAATGCCTGACAGTCATGTGAAGAATGCTGCTTTAGGCTATCGGTATTTTAGAAAAACTGATTATCACCGCACCGCCATTACTAAAAGGCAGCCAGAACTTGTGGGAGTAACAGTGTTACACTCTCATAGTCCTTCGAAGTCTGTGCGTCCACTGCTGTTAAAATAACAGTCCTCTAAGATGCTAGCTGTCAAAATTTCAACAGGGGGGCTATTCCTGCACGGAGGGGAGCAGGGTGAGCACCCCATTTACATCTCCTGCATGGTACTAGTGCGGACAGGAGCGGGGTGAATGTACCACCTCCAGGTGTGAGAGAGGCGGTTCCCCCCATGACCCTGGCCCCCACCTGCACCTCAACAGGCCCGGCAGGGAGGTCCCAGCACGGGGCTCATGCACCGGGAACTGGAGCTCTGACTGCGTACACAACAGGGGACTCAGAGTGGATTAAAGACCTAAAGGTAAGACCTGAAGCCATAAAATTCCTAGAAGAAAACATAGGCAGTAAACTCGTGAACAGCAACATTAGTACTTTTTTCTCTGGATCCCTTTCCCCAGGTAAGGGAAACAAAAGCTGAAACAAACCAGAGGAATGGAAACTAACAAGCTGCTGCCCAGCACAGGGCACCTTCAGCAGGAGGAAGGCGCAGCCTACTGTGTGGGGGAAGGTGTTTGCATAGGATGATGCCTCTGGTAAGGGGCTAATATCCAAAATATGTAAGGAACTCATGCGACTCAACACCAAAAAGAAAAGAATCCAATTAAAAACGGGCAGAGGACCTGAACAGACCTTTCTCCAAAGACATGCAGATGACCAACAGGCCTGTGAAATCACTGATCCTCAGGGAATCGCACCTCAAAGCCGCAGTGAGACATCACCTCACACCAGTCAGAATGGCCACCATCCAAAAGACAAGAAATAACTAACAAGTGTTGGTGAGGATGTGGAGAAAAGGGAGCCTCCTACACTGCTGGTGGGAATGTCAATTGATATGAAAACTGGAATGTCAGTCACTACGAAAAGCAGTATGGCGGGTCCTCAAAAACCTGAGAATAGAAATACTATACGACCCAGGAATTCCACTTCAGGAAATTTATCTGAAGAGAACAAAATCACTAAATCAAAAAGACACATGCACCGCTATGTTCATCACAGCACTGTTTACAAGATACAGGAGCAACCTAAGTGCCCACTCATAGATGACTGGATAGAGAAGAACCGGCACTTGTACACAGTAGGATATTACTCAGTCATAAAAAAAATCATGCCACTGTGACAGCATGGATGGAGGAGCTACAAGGTATTATGCTCAGTGACATAAGACAGGGAAGGATAAATACCATGTGATTTCACTTATTTGTAGCATCGAAAAAATAAAACAGATGAACAAGACTAAAACATACTCATAAATGCAGAAAACAGATGTGGTTGCCATAGGGGAGGTCGGTAGGAGGAGGGATGAAATGGGTAAAGGAAAAAAAAATTAGAATGTTTGGTATCTTGATCTGGGTGATGGCGACATGAGTGCACACACGTGTCAAAATTTATCAAGCTGGACACAGCCTTGTGCATTTTAATGCAAGTACCACAATATAAAAATTTTGAAACAATAGGGTTCTGGTACTGTGACACTTGTGGTGACTGATTCTGTTCACTTCTGTGCACTAAGTGAACGAACTCATTCGTTGCTCACACAAATATCAACTATGCACTATGACACTAAATAATATAAGGTAATTTTTTACAGTAATAGTATCACATGAGCTACCATTCTCCATTACAATTCTAGACAACTGGCAACAATAGATCAATTGTGCTACAATGCCCACAATTTAATACTTAATGGTGCAAAATATGTGTAATATACATATATCATATTTGCCCCTCTCTATCCACTATTCACTATGCCTTAATTCACTTCTAAGTGATTTTCTAAACAGCGGCATGGCATCATTTCAGTGGACTGCAGCCAGAAGATAGCGTGGCAGAGTCGTGCTGGTGACTTAGCCCTGTCAGACGTCACCTTCGTGTGCTGACCCACCCACCTAGCACCTCAGACTCTCTGGCCCCTTAATGACCCCAACCAACGAGCCACCCCATTTATCTACTGAGATATCTAATGATTTCCTCCAATATAAGGTGTCCAAAGCAGACATCTCGATCCCCAGCCAGCAAACTTGTTCCCAGCTGTTTGTCGTATTCTAACGTGGTCAGAGGCCAGGCTGGCCTATGCTCACCGCATCCCCCAGCCAGCCTCCTCTTGCTGAAATCCAGGCCTCAGCTCTCCTGGGCTGCCTGCCTGGAGGGTTCCGGGTCCCTGTGTGCACTGGCTGCCCTCTCCTGCCTCCGGTCAGCTCAGCCCTCCTCCCCTACAGCCTCCCGCCCTGCTTGTCCGTCTGCTTGCTCGGCACCTGGTGTGCTTGCGTTGAGCTTCCCCTCCACGGCTGCAGCTCTGAGGACCAGGCCTTCTCTGCTCCTGTTCGTGGACTTGTCTCCAGCTCCTACAACAGTGTCTGGCACGCAATCAGATCACCCCCAGCACTACCCAACAGCAGGGAACATCTGCTGAGCCCTAGCTCACCCCCTGGCACTCCCCAAAACCCTTTCTGCTTCCAGGCCCCTGTGTGAGCCTCCGCAAGGCCGGGGGCAAGTGGGACCACACTGGCCATTTCACAGCTGCAGAAACAAGGCACAAAGGGGGAAGGTGACTTTCTCAAGGTCACAGGCCTGAAAAGTGGCAGAGCTGGAATCAGAACCCAGGCAGTCTGGCTCCAAAGTCTGGATACTCAGCCAATGAGATGCTCATTGCACGAATGAATGGACAGTACCATCGTGCTGCTGCATCTCTGCATGTCCCACCCACCGACATTACTGTCACCTCCCCAAAGGCGGGCGTGCACTCCCTGCGGGCCAGTACACGCCTCCAGCCCGCATGCCTACCCGCTGCTCCTCGTCCCCACCGCCCGCGCCTCCAGGCTGCACCCTGCTGTCCGCTGGAGCTGGCTGGAGCCCTGTCTCCCCTCCTCTAGCTTAGGACTCACCACCCACAACCACACGCTTACGGGCATCCGTCACTGGTCCCCATGGGCCACCAGCCCAATCCAGGAACACACACTCCTGAGTCAGCCCCCACCCACTCTCCAACCAACATATCAGACTTCATTCACCATCCTTGCGGCAACTGGACCATCCTGAACCCTTCCTGACAGAAGAGAAGTCATTAAATGCAGGCGGTCATGGCAGAAATCTTTGGAAAGCATTTTACGTAGTACTGAGTGGACCGCTGGACGGGAATATTATTACTGATGTAGACCGCGTGGACTGATAGAATATAGCATATATCATGTCCACACATTTATATATATAATTGCAGTATATATAATTACTAAAATGACAGCTTATGGCAGAGTGTAAGAGACGAGTGTTCTAATTACGGTTTTTGTTGTCAGTATGGAAATGATGTCATACCTGTCAGGACTGCTAAGGTGCAGGAGAGTGAAATGGTAATGCCTGCTGCAGGGTTCACCACTGGAGAGAATCACATGGGGCTTTTCAGCTAGCTGCCCCTGGGGCCTTTCTGCCCCCACTGTAGACAGCACCCCATGGACTAGAAGAGCAGGCTGTGTCTGTGCACCGGTGCCAGCAGTGTCAGCATGGCTGCTGTGCAACCCCAGTGGCCCACGGCCCTGTACAGTCTGCCCGTGGCTCCCTGACCGGGTCATGCGGGGGCTGCGCACCTGCCTCGGGGTCCCCGCACTCACCGTCCCCTCTGCCTGGAGCTGTCCCACTCCGATGCCCGCGTGTCCTGCTGTCCCCTGCTTCCATGACAGCTTGGTGCAGCAGTCCTCCCAGACCTCCCTGTTCACCCCGGGGCTTCCACGCCCCTCCGCCCGCCCTCTTTCCTGCCCTGTGTCCCCCCACAGTGCTCACTATCACTGCATATGATTGTCTGACTCCCCCAGGTAAATATAAACACCAGACTTGGGAGCCAGACTGCCTGGGCTCAAATGCACAGGGCGATGGAGTGTCTGCCCCGTGGTGTGGTGCCATGTCGGAGCAGGAGAGAAGGGGAAGAGAACGTCCCGCCACCCAACCGTCGCAAAATCTGCAGGATTGGTACCACCAGGACCCATCACATTCCAGAGGGACCCTATCTGAGAGCTCTGTATTAAATAGATGCCTCTAACTGGTGCATGTAGGCGGGGGCACCCGGAGGGGACATCTGCACCAGGGTGACTGGCACATACCCGGCTTACAGCAACCACATGTCCACTGGGGCTGTGCAGGCCTCATGTCCCGTAAGCCAGTGATTACAAACCCCGGGCCGCTTTGCCCCTCAGGGGATGTTTGGTAATGCCTGGAGACATTTTCTGGTTGTCACAGTTTGCGGCACAGCGGGGTGCGATGGCACCTGTAGGGCAGGGGATG